ATTGCTCCTGAAGAGCTGGTTCCTGGGATAGAAGACTGCTTGGCACAGTACTTCATGTGCTATACTCCAGCTCAGGATGTCTTGGATATTTAGTAAAATTCTTCAAAGTCACTATATCAGGGCTGCAAGAGAGAGAAAAAGTCATTTTGTGAAAGATCAGCTGATCGCCTTGAAGTGCTTGAAAGTACTAAGGTTAGTAGCAGGAAATAAAGTTATTCATCTAAAGAATCAAATTTCCTTAAGACCATGACAAAATTCTTCCTTTTAAAACTGAAAGAAAGCAGAGACTAGAAATTACTGGAACTAGTGAGAAAACTTGTATTTTTACATTTTTAAAACTAAGTCTTGTGTAGTTTCAATTTATGTTTGTCATGTTTGAGTTTCAATTTTGTATCAGTTCTGCAATCTCATTTTGTTACATAGTAGATGAAAAATAATTGCAAGGGCTATCAGGTATTGTGGAGTAAAAATTACTAGATGAGGAATTGCAGATTACTTCAGTGACAGAAAAATGAAGTGCTTAAAAGGTATTTATTAGGAGATGGCTTGTCAGTGAAAAGTCTTGTATACAAAAATGAAGAAGATGAACTCTTTGTGTCTCTATAACTATCTTAGAGCTAGCTGTAAAATGAAGGCTATAAAGCTTTTGTTTGTTGCTATCTGTATGTCATGAAAGAACCGAGTGGTTTCTAAAATATACAGTCGCAAACTGATTATAAAATTCCCAAGAGGAACTCTGATGGGTCTATCACAACTTAACAATGGAACAGTGAGTCACTGCAGGAGGAGTTCATGTAATAATCTTTTCCGGTATTTATAGGACCAGGAGGATAAAATGTCATTTAATTTTATTTGATTAAAAACTACTAGGCAGGATAGATAGAGGAAGAATCTTTCTTTTATTTCAGGCATGAAAGATGAATGGAATGTATAAAAAGCATATTATGAAGCAGTATAGTATAGTGATTAATTTCACATTGATCAGTGCTCCAAAATAGTTGTGTTAATAATAAAATTATTTCATTTGATAATATAAGATGATTGAAAAAATCTAGGTACAAAGTGTTGCTTTTGAGATTAACAGCTAGGTGATAAGGCATTTCTGTGTGTTCTTGCCTGCGACTTTAGGCCTATGTATTTGTTCAAACTGCATCCATGGAAGATTTTTCATTACTTGAAAAAGTTATGCCAGATTGTACTTAATGTATCCTTGATTAGGTGAGCTAGGATGCCAAAAACATTTTAGCCTATGCCTTAATGCTGGTGATGCAGTGTTTTATCCAGCACTGTGTCCTGCAGTCACTTCTGGAATCAGAGCTCTTTTATGTAGTGCTCCCGATGTACAGATGATGTCAGAGGTGTCTACTGTTGCTTAAAGATTTGGTTGGGTTGCGTTGTTGGTTTTAGTTTTTGTTTTGTTTTGTGTGGGGTTTTTTTTCTAGAAAAGGCCATATAATTTCATGAGCATGTTTATTCACAGTGAATGATTGCATGAATTCTTAACTAAAGCTTTTAGATGCAGTCACAATATTGAGAGCTTAGCATAATGTCATACTATAACAATCCTTATCCTTTCTTTTCTCTCCTTTGCACTGCTAGTATTAATTTTTTGCTTTAGTTATGAGAAGTTCTGTATGATGCATTAATATTCAGCATGTATCAGGAGTTCATGAAGCATAAAGGTCATCAAATTCAAAATTATTGAAAGCAGAGGCAGATGTGAGCAAAGGTGAGATGAGCAAAATAACAGATGTAAGTATCCTTGGATGAGCCACAAGATCTTAAAATAATACTGCCTTTTTTTTCCAAATTAGATATTGCTTAAATGGCAAAATAGTCTGGATATATGTTTGGCCAAAAAGGTCCCTAAGTCATCTTTTCATTTTGTACTAGTCAAACTTGATGAAACAAATGTCCTTCTCAATAGTACAGAAGTGATGGTGAGAGAGGGGCACAGAGGATCAAATCTGTGCCATGGAGATCACTGAGAAGATTTAGATTTTTATGCAGAAATAGAAGATAAAAGTGAGACGTCTATTTATTGCTTATGTACACTAATTCAGGTAAGGATTCAATAGAAATAAGTTTGAGTGGAAATTAAAGAATATTAGATAACTCTTGAAAACTGTAATTTAATAGCATTTGCATTTTTTTTAGAATTCATGGTAGTTTTTGCAATTCTCTAAGCTAAATGCAGAGTTAACAGTTACACTTTAAAATGGATCATATTCATTTAAGAAAGGTAATGCAAACTTTGCTCATTGGTTTAATATCCCATTCAACAGCCAGTATTGGATTTTTACAAGAATAGTACCAATAACAATACAGTCCAAAAAATTCCACACTGAATGGGCCCCTCTATTGTATCAGAGTTCTCTGAGTCTGATGAACACTGGTAACATGAGCTTATAGAGAAAATGTTTTCAGTAGTTTGGAGTTTTTAATATATTCAAATATTTTCAAAACCTAGCTAAATTTTTGTGGCTAGTTGTGCTTTAAGGAATGCCCCCACTTTTCTGATTGGTTTTGCTTATCAAATAGCTTTCAGTGAGTATACTTTTGGTTTTGTTGTGGCAGAAGATAATCAGAGTGCTTAAATAGTTTGGGAGAGCATTTATGGGTTATGGATATTATATCCTAACATAACTGCCTTATACATACTGCTTACAAAAAAAACCCAAACAAAAATAAGTTCTTTATTTCTTCAAATGAATGGTGCAATTTAATATTGGAAGATGAACCAACTAAATATTTTTTTCTCCAGGAAAGTATTATAGTGAATTTCTACTTACAGATCATAGGCTTAGGAAGCATGTTGGTATAACACAAAGAAATGAGAGCCTAAAGATCATAAAGGATCCTAATATTCACTTACTTTTAGCCCCAGTAGAGTTGTATGAGTTTCATAAATATTCAATGTTTATTATTATGGATTTCCATCTAAAGCTTTTGTTTATGTTTTCTAAAAAGTGTTTCTGAAAAATGAGTCTTTCTTCATTGCTTTTGAATTTCTGTTTTCATCCAAAGGGAATTTGTGGTTGAATTATAATTCTTACAAGAGAGAAATTACGAAGTTTCCCTTAAAAAGGTGCTTACCTTCAGGGTGTGTAATTTTTGTAAATAGGTTTAGTTCACATTAATTTATATACAATACGAATGCCTATTATACGTAGTCTTCAAAAACTTTTTGATATTTTAAGAAAATAATTATTTGAAAAGTGGAAAAAACCCCAAAACACCAGGTTTCCATATGGAAGGTTATGGATAATCTGTCCTAGTTTAGCTTGAATGGAGTCTGATTTTTTCCCCCCAGTCAACAGAGGTCAGTTAAATCAAAGGAGAGGGAAGAGTTATAGGAGTTCTGAGATGCAGAAGCTAGAAAAGATGCTGTTCAGTTGCATTTCTGCTTTAGTTTAAATACACTGTCACAAAACAATAAAAATCAGTCTATTTCTAAATGCAATGTTTTCCCTAGAGTGTAGAATTATAGATACTTTCTCAGTGATTTGAAAAGGAAGTATTTCCTAGGTGGAATTGCAGTAGTACAACCTCCGTATCATTAGGTGAAGAGCCAGTTGTTTCAGTCGACAAATAGCCCTTGACATTTGAGCAGTTAAACATGGTGTTGTCAGGCCGCAGGAGGAAAGCATGGGGGACAGCTTCTAGGAACAGTACTGCTGTTTGCCAAGTAACAAAAGGCTTAAACCAGCATTAAGTTCTAGCTAATTTTGTTGTGTTTCTCCTGCTTGTGGAATCTTATAGCCCAACCCGCCTTGGGTCAAGGTGGTTGCCTGTGTTCCAAGTCACTGCTTCTTGGGAAAGTCTCAAGAGCAAAGTCTGTTGGTCTAATGGGCTTTGACTAGAGAATAGAGTCTAGAATAGAGTCATTTCTAGAATGAGTCTCCAGAAGCTGCAGAGCCATACTGAGAGCAGTGTTCACCTTTCCAAAGTCTTTTCTGAGCTGCCTTTCTGCTTCTTCCTTTCCCATGTTGATACGTGCTGCAAACCAGTTGCTCAGCCTCCCTTTTGAGGCAAATCATTTGCTCCAGATGTTCTCTTCTGTGATGTCACTGGGAATTAACCAGCATTTTGAAGTCACCTGGTCTCTGTGATATTTGATGGCCTCATCACCCTTCTCAACTCTGAGATAGAAAATATTTTTGGGTTTGTTTTTAGGTTTGTTTTTAGGTTTTGTTTAGGGTTTTTTTTGGTGTTGCTTTTTGTTTGTTGTTTTGGGGTTATTTTAGTGGTGTGGGTTTTTTTGTGACATTTTTTGATGGCAAGGATGTGAAATTTCCATTTTCCATTTTCTGGAACTTCAAGTTCTGAGAGACTTGCTGTAAGAATTTGAGTGCCCAGTCTTACTCAACTTGTGCTGAATCTACATATGTTTTATAGCATGTTCAAATTTCCTTGAATGTGTTGTAAGTTCTAGTCCAGAAGACTAAAAAATGTGGACATGACATGTCCATGGGTGGTAAGTATTCCTTGGAAGCAAGGAAATATACATTTTTTATCAAAAGGTGTAACTCAAGCCCATAGAATATGTCATAACAGTAATTGAAATAGGATTGGTGTTAAGGTGGGTATTCCTATGCTATTCTGCATCTAATTAACAGGTGTAATGATGGCAGAGAAGATGCAGCAGGATTGGGCTTCGGTGTGTGTTGGTAACCTAAATACATGGTTTTGTCCTAGCACAATGAACCTGAAGTCAGGGGTACTGTGTCTTCAAAGTCATATTTTCTGTGCTAGTTCAGTTAGTCCCAGTCAGAACATATGCCTGTGCTGCCATCACACTTTGATCTGTGGTATAAAACTATGACAGTGTAAGTTTTATTTTTTTTTTAACTGGTACACAAATCCATCAGCCTTTCTTTTAGACATACTCTTACAGAAAAGTTCTGCTGATTACTTCCTATTATCCCATGTAGAAAAAGCTTTAAATCAACAATTGCTTTCTGTTCTAAGCTGATGGTGTTGTCTTTCTCAATTAACAGTGTTTCCTTGACATGACGTTTGGAGCTGGAGGTCATACTAGAGCTCTACTAGAGAAAGCCAGAGACATCACTGTCTATGCACTGGACAGGGACCCCACAGCTTATAAAATAGCTCTGCAGCTTTCAGAATCATATCCGTAAGTTGTCTTCTCCTGCCATAAATATTTTCAAGATAAGGTTGATACTTAGGTATTACATACACAATTTAATACATTTTTATGGTTTTAATATATAGTTTTAATGGCTTATTGTAGAATATCATTATATGCTGCATGTACTCCTTTAAATAGGAGATCAAGTTTATTTATGAGTAATTGTGTGCAAGTTCTGAGGTGTATGATGTTAAATGCATATTCTGTGCTCTGTTAATTTTGAGTATACAATAAGGAGCCTGTTTTATATTTTAACATTTATTTAAAAAATATTCACATGCTCTGCTTGCTTTGAGATGTTTCTGTTGTTGTACAAAACCATACACTTTCTGGTAAATACTTCACAAAAAGGATGGAATAATTTACTTCTAAATTCAATTATAAGGTAATTTAAGTATGGCTTATGAATATTTTCATTTATAAAAATAATTGTAATTCAGTATTACGTTTGATAAATACTTTGCCACTGGCTTCAGAAACTACTGAACAATTTAATAAGCTGCTATTTGTGTGTCAAGTCATACATCAACTTTCTTTTTAAATAGAATCTTGAATTTCCTAAATGAGCAATTGCTAAATGTAAATTTTTAGGTTTTTTTATTTATACAAAGGTCTAATTTGTTTATTTTATTCAAGAAACAGGCCAGAGCATGAGTACAATCATGCAAAAGTGTGCAATATGTAAACCTGAATATGAGCTTTTCATAAAATGCTTGAATTTGACCAAGAAGTTAAAACACGTAGATAGAAACCTAAATCATATGAAATAATTAATGTTTAGGAAATTTAGGGGAAGTAGGAATGAAAGGACACTTACTGACATGTTGAAAATGTAAGAGTATTTATTTCAAAAGAGCTTTTACATGAGTAAGAGCAATCTTTTCAATAAGAAGAAAATTGATAGAGGGGGATAAAGAAACACCTGGTTGCTTAGTCATGTTTTCTTGCATAAAAAGGAGTTCTGAGATGCAATAGTATTCCAGCAATGCAGAAGGTATTCCTCACCTTTTCTAAAAGAAAAAGCTAAACTGTGCTTTCCTTGCTTCTTGTGTCATTGTCAGAGGTCCAGTGGGAAAAATTGAAAGCAGGTGATAAGAAAGCATAGCTCAGTTACTAGTCATCCTGCTCTGTAAGACTACTTAACTATATTTCTTTAAATTTCAGATCTTTGTGGGCTGAAGTGACACACAGTGTGTAGTTACAAATTTGTGGAATTCCTCTCCCAACTGTTATTACTCCAGAGAATACTCCCTTTGACAAAATAGTGTGCAGAATATTGGCAAGAAAACTTCATTTTCTTTTAAACTAAGCCTGCAAACTCCACCAGGTGTCATTGGACTTGTAAAGTCTGTTCTTTGTGTCAGAGGAAAAAAAAAAAAAGTAGTCCAAACAAAAGCCAATCTTATATTTAATAAGTTTTCAGAAGCATTTACACAGCACAGACTATGTTGAACAGGGAATTGTCAGGATCACACTCTGAAATAATTTTCCAGTACTAATTCTGGTCTTTAAATGATAGTAATATGAAAAGATCTTATTCAAAATATGTTCATCTGCAAGGTATCCTATGCAAATCTGGGTAAGAAGGAAGTTTATTTTCTGGGTAGATTGTTGGATGATTTTCTGCCAATGATCAACATTGTTAATTCTCTGCTTGCTTATATTTGTTTAAATATGAGCTTTAATCAATATAGTATTACAGTTAATCTAACTTACTATGGCTTTAAGAACAAAGAAGGTCTCCCAGTTCCTAATTTTGTTTGTAAAATCATATCAACTTGGTTACTTGGATTCCAGACATGGTGTTGTCTGCCTTTATAGACACAAGTTATCATTACAATGAAGTGGATTCTTAAATAACAGTGTTGTTAGAGATAAGTGTTAGTCACTGAAAGATGATTGCCACTTGAATATATATACTGGGCACAGAGCAATATTCTTCCTTGTTTTGTGTTTTCCCTCATCTCCTGTCTTTCCGTCTGGAAAGGACAGGTGTGTTCTTTTTCAGAAGGTAAATACATATTTTTTCATAATAGTTTATATTGAAAATTAAGGTAAAATAACGTTCATACATATATATGTGCTCACTATTTAATCTTGTTTCCATATGAAGGGAGTTGCATAAAGCATAGTTAAATTAAGTGGGGGAAGGAGAAGGTTTATAATTTGTAAATTAGAAGTAAAGGTAGGGCTTACTTGCAAATTCATTGTAAGCATAAGGGATTTACTTTAGAGTTATGGAACTTTCATAAATGGATTTTTTCTTGCAGTATTCATTAAAAGATGGCTGATTTAATATTTAGAGTTTTTATTGTCCACTTTCCACACTGTTAGAAAGAAATCTTTTATCATAATTTTATCAGTTTAATTCCAATCTGTGTTGGCATCAAAAGCTCAGGAAATAATTCATCCAGTTGACATCTTTATCTGGTCACGTGTACTGTTAAATAAAATAGTTCCCTCACCTGGTTCACCAGGCAGCATCAGAAATAGTTGTGCTGTCTTAAAACTGGCAGTGGCAGCATGCAGCTGCAGGCTGTGAGAAATGTAGGGCTGCCCCTTCAGTAATAAGGACAGCCATAGATGTAAGTGACTAAAGAGCTGCTGCACAGGAGGATAAACTTCTCCATGTTTTTTTCTCTTCTAGGTTGTTGGTTTTCTTTTCACCTCTTCTGTTTAGCATTGCTGTTTTGGGAGAGGTTATTTGACTTACCAAGTGCTTCTCTTCCTTTGGAGGTGGCAGGAGGTGGCTGTTATGCAACTGTAACGACTATCATCTGATTCCCCCTATGTCTGAAATTGTGCAAATTGCAAGTCATGTATCAGTTGAATCTTCTGTTGTCATTTTGTTTCTATTTAAAACAGAATATTGTACCTGTTTAATTGGAAAGGTTAACGAATTCCAGCATATCAACTACATTATGGATCTTGAGTCTTGCAGTAGTATTTGCAGCAGTCCTCCCTGCTGTAACACTTCCCTTAGAAATATTCAGTGTTAATTGCTGTTGCTTATTCTGGTTAGGTAACAGTAATCTTGGTAAAACCATATATTTCCAACTGTTACTCACTGTGGGGACTCATTTTTTAAGCATCCTATATCTTATGTCACAGAGTTACAAGATTATTAAAGCTCAAGTTGCAGAAATAAGCCCAAATTGTTGGAAGAAGAAATAAGCATGGCTAAATTAGGAGACTTTTCTATATTCAGAACTAATAAATGGAGTCCTCCTTGTACTTAGCTGAAAGACAACTGGAGTAATAACCAACTGAATGAGAACACTAAGAAAAATACATTTAATGTGTGTATTTTAAATGTCTCTCCCTCCTTCTTGGTAGTGATTTTGTCAGAACTAAAATCTGAGGTGGGTAGAGTTCCAGCTGCAATTCTTGCATTCATTTAGCCACTCTGTTTATGATATATATTTTTAAAAAAATATCTAATGTTGCTTTAATAAGGAGAAAATGGGTCAGGGCCTGTTAGATATTCAGTGTGTGGGTGGGAATCCTTTGACGTGCTTTCTGGGGAAGCCTCTAACTTGGGAATTGCTGCTGAGAATCCAGGAGAACAAGATAAAATTCAGTCAGTAGCAATATATATTACAAGTAAACCCTTTCACACCCACTGAAAGGGAGAGGTTACAGAGGTGGCTGAAATCTGGCAATTAACCAGTATCATAGCAAACTTTTAAGTATGAGTAACCTACGCAAAGCCTACACAGAGAAGACAATATGTTCGTTGTAATTCTCTGAGCAGAATAAGAAATAGTGCCCTGAAAAGAAGGATAAATAGTATAAAGTTCCTCATACAACTTAGCTGCCATTTTATTGTAGTTCCAAAGTAATTTTTAGGTGTGATGGTGCTTACAGGTTTTGTTTTCAGGGTTACACAAAGTTTATAGAATAAGTGGGGAAGAACTATCAGCTGTGCATTGTACATTCTGGGGAAAACAGAATTTATTTTGTTCACTTATAGGGAAAAAATAACTTTTTTCAGTTGCAATAAGCTTCATTTAGGTGCTTGTGTGAGTGTAATGTATCGGCTACTATACTACTACTCAGTAAGTTTGCAGATGACACCTAGCTGGGCAGGAATGTTGACCTGCCTGTGGGTAGGAAAGATCTGCAGAGGGATCTGAACAGGCTGGATCAATGGGCCAAGGCCAATTGTGTGAGAGTTTTCATGATGTTTTCTCTGGACAGGGGAAGTTACTGTCCATGATAGTGTGCATAATATGTTTTTGCTAAAGGAATAGAGGTAAAAATTAAGTTAGCTCCTGAGCAGTGCAATACTTCCTGCATAGTTCAGTCACTCTTTTTATCTTTCTCTTTTGTGTTTTATTGATGTTTTTCTATAAAGGATGTTTGAAAACCAGAAGTATCAACAAGATTGTCACCCATGGAAAATAACATAGCACCATCTAGAGAATACCTTACATCTCTTCAATTTGTATGTCTATTCATACAAGCAGAAAGCATTTGTTTGACTTAAACAGCACATTTCACATGGAAATAGTCAGACATCTATGAACACCTCCTAAGCATCCTCAAAACGTAGCATAGTTTAAGACCAGGTAGGGAAACAAAACCTCTTTAGAAAAGAAGATGGAAGAGAAATGATGCACAAATCTAAGTGTTTCTTTAAAACAATATGTAGTTCAGTGTTAGAGGTAAGTTTGGGAAGATGTGTCTAGGAGAATGCCATGAAGATCATAATACAAAAGGATGACAAGCCTGAGTATGGTGAGTATGGTGGTTGAGCAGACAACCAGTCTTCAGGTGTCAAACTGAAGCTTGAGAAGGTTGAATGAGTTGGTTGCAACCGTTTGTCTAAATGGCTTAATATCTTCCACTTGTGATTTTGGTAGTGTCCATGTGTCACTCAGTTGAAAGTGTATTTACCTGTGGTCTTTTAGATATAAAAATCCTAATTTACTTTTTTATGGGGGATGAAAAAGCCCAAGAGAAAGCAAGTTTGTGAGTTGTCT